GCTGGCCATCGCCTGTTAGTTCAGGTCCCAGCTCCTAGCAGGCTGGCCTCAGGGAACTCCAGAGGGAGGCCTAAAAAAGCCCCACAGCTGGAAGCTGGTCTAGGGACCCACAGGGACAATCCTGTGGGTAGTGGGTGGAACACGTGCCCACAGAGACTTGACAGAGTGAGTGAATGAGCACGCTGTGTAAACGATCTTTGCAAAGAGAAGCCTCCGGGCAGCTGGGGCGCAAACGGCAGGGATCCACCCTCCCCACAACCAACAGAAACTTGACTGGGAGTCTTGGAGCATCACGCACACCAATGAACCCTCACTCCTTGATTGGGTGGGAAGGCAGTGATGAGGCCCATTTTACAGGGCAGAAAGAGAGCAAGGCAAGGCTAGAGAGAAACCTGGCTGTTTGGGGGGCCTTTTCAGCCTGACCCTTTTGGGGTACAGCTGGGCCTTCGGGGAATGAGGCTCTGAGGAGCCACGAGCAGGTTTTGTGCAGGATCCAGAGGGCCTATGGGCCAGTGGGCAAGACCCTAGCCTCCTAATGGGTCAGGAAACGGGGAGAGGCAGACTAGGGGAAAGGGGGAACAGCCTTTTCCTAGGTTCCCTGGTGCTTCCTCTCTGCCCTGTTTACAGAAAACGAAGTGCCTTTGGTGACTCTGGACCGTTTCCCCTGAAGCAATTAGAGCGGCCACTGTCAGTGCTTGCAGGAGGGCACCCTCCTCCCCAACCCTGCTCCCATGCAGGGGCCAAAGGCCCCACTGGGGGCTCGTGCTGGTGCCTGTTGGCAACTGCATGCTTGGGGGCCCCACTCCCCTCCCCCGACCCAGCCAGCACTGAACGGGTGCCCAAAGCCATCCAAGTTTCCGTGAGCCCTCCCTACTCAAGCATTGAGGGCTGGGTCATCCTTATCACCTCCTTAGGAACATCTGATGAGGAACCTCACTGAATGGGCCCCTCTGGTCCCCAGTGGGAAGCGGAACCCTGCCCCTCCTGACCCCCACACCTGCCTGAGGGAGGCCTTTCAGCAGAACTATCCTACCACAGGCACTGAACAAAGGTGATTTGAATTTTCTGAGCCTCCCTTTTGGGGCGAGGGTGAGGGTATATGCACAAATCTCTGTTGCACTCTGTTGGGTTGGGGGACCCTGCAGGATGCCACCACCCGTCTGCCACGCTGATGGGGTTGTTGGAGGACTTGGGAACCACCTGATGAGATAGATGACATGGACCAGGACCCGGGGTCTTGAGTAAGGACTTGGTGGCTGACAGCGGGGTAGCCCCTATTAATTTATTGGAGGCCCAGAGACTCTCTTTGTCCTCTTACTACCCACGGCGTGCCATGTTTCCTACCAGCCTGGTGAACTGCTTGGGTGGCAGAGAGGGTTTCTCTCTCCTTTCTCTAATTTGTCCCCCACCCACTTCACCCCAGGTGGTCTAGAGCCAGCTCATACAGGCTTGCAAGAGCCAACTGTTAAATATTCAGGAATTTTGTGAGCTGCTTATTAAACTTAGTCACCATTAAAAATTAAATTATACGAACCAGTGTTTCTCAACCCTTTGTTCATTATTGCCTCCTAAGGAGCCTTTTCAGACACAATTTTCCTAATCTCCGACCACCCTCCCTATGAAATTTTAATATCACAGCTATACTGTGTATCTGTTTATGTACTGGATATATCTATGCTTTAATATAAAAGGAGTAAGATAGTTTTTGTCCCCCACCAAGAAGCGATTGTCACCCCTGTTGAGAATGCATGATATAAGCTCACAATTAAATAAATTATATTAAAAAACAAAAGTAACATATACTCAAAACTCATTACTTCCTAGTTATTTTACTGGCATTTTACTCTGGCCAATTCTTTTGAAGTTATTGATATTTTTCCTCTGAAGAGCTGGTTGCTCAACATTTACCAGCATACCAGTGGGCAGGTCTTCTGCAATAGCAAAATAGCAGACAGTTTGATGGGATTGATTTCAGCCAAAGAAAGGCTGGTTTGTCTAGCAAACACCTCACTTGGAAAAACATGGGAGGACCTGGAGCATTCCAGTGGATGCAGGCAGAAGACGGAAGAGGAGCCCAGAAAGAGGAAGGCCCTCTGAGGCTGACGCCATATTGGCTGAAGGGTGTCTTCAAAGGAGGGGGAAGTGTGTGTGTGCATGTGTGTGTGCACGCGTGTGTGTGCATGCATGTGTGGGCATGTGAGTGTGTGCGTGTGTGTGTGCATGTAACCTACATCCTCATGCTCTAGGAGTGTTTGTGATTAGCAATTGCTTGCTCTTCCCTCAGGTGCAGTGCACACATTTACATGCCCCTAGAGGTCAGGGGCATACAGCTGGGACTCTTGCCCAACTGTCCCATTTCCTCCCAGGCCTTGAGTCTCCTGTAAACACCTGACTTTCCATTCTGAATGATGTGCTGGACCCTAGGGGAACACAGGGAAATCAACAACTGCTGGCCTGGGGAGAGGGAGAAGGCAGGACTTCCACACAGAACACTGCATCACTTCCTCCTCTGTGGGCCTCCGTTTCTTTCACCAATGAAATGGGAGTGGCAGAGTGAGTTNCCTCTGCGGGACCCAGGAAGCCTGAAGCCTTGGTGGGGCCCAGATCGCAGTGGCTGTTTGTTTGTCTTGGACTTGGCCCAAGCAGGCAGCTCATTTGTTTGTGTGGTTTAACTGCTGGCCTGATTTTTCCAGGGCGGATTAGATGGCACATCCCTCTGTAGTCTGTAGGATTCCAGAAAAGGGGCTGAAGCAGCTGTTTCCCTTTAAGGTGGAGGCCAGAAGCGGGTGTGGGAGGCTGGCTCGTGCTTCTAACTGTGTCACACAACCTGAGCCCACTCAGGTTCGGAGATCTGATGAGTGTTATCTGTCAGGGTCCAATCAGGAGACAGA